GGTGGAAGGAGGAAAAATCCTGCAGAATAAATGTGGAAAAACATTTGGAAAAATCAATGTGCAGTGGTTGATGATCAAATAATTGGGAATAATTAGGGACTAATAATAATACAATAATAATTGTATTATTATATACAATAATAATTGTATTATTAGGGAAATACAATTTTTATTCCTGGGACTGGATAAATGTAAATATAAAAAAAAATATTTCTTATATAGAAATATATATTTATGAAAGTATCGATCTCATATAAAAAAATCTCGTGTGTGTATATAAAATATGTAAATATCTTAAAATACATATATATATATAAAACACACTGGAAATACAATTTTTATTCCTGGGAGGATTTTTGGGATCCAAAATAAAGAACTCTTGAATTTTCCTGCTGCTATAAAAATAGAAAAGATCTCTTATATATGTAAATATAAAAAACCCTTATATTAATCTTATATTAAAATTATATTATTAAAATATATATAATATACAATTATATATAAACCTTATCTGTAAATATAAAAGATGTGTATTATTTATAAAAATAGATATATTTAAATTAATATTTACTTTTATTTATATGTATTTATATATTGTATATGTGTATATATGTATATATAAGATATAAAAATAGAAAAGATCTCTTATATATGTAAATATTAAAAAACCCTTATATGTCTTATATTAAAAATATATTATTAGAAATATATATAATATACAATTATATATAAACCTTATCTATAAATATAAAAAAATTTATATTATTTATAAAAATAGATATATCTAAATTAATATTTATTTATATTTATTTATATGTTTTATATGTGTATATATGTATATATATACATATATATACATATAAATACATATATACACATAAAATATGAAAATATTTATATTTATTCATATATTTTATATGTGTATATATGTATATATATGTATGTATGTATATATATATCAATATCTATATATATTCATTTTGAGTCTTAAAAATACCAGAATTTGATAGAGCAGGAATAGGAAAAAATTGTTTTCTTTCAGGTTTTTTGTCTTATCCCCAAAAAACCTGGAGTTGAAGCAAGAAATTCATTAATTAATTTATTAATTACAGCAGAATGAAAGGCTGCAGTGCAATTATTTAGGATTGCTTTGGTGACCTGCAGAAATTGCAGAAATTCCATTTCTTCCTCATTTTGATCTTTACTCCTTGTGTTTGAGATCCAGAAATCCAGAAAATTCCAGGAATATTGAAAAATCCTGAGGTGAGAGGAAATGTGTGCAAAAGGAAATGAGGGACTGAGGGGATTGAGAAAATCAGGAAAATTCAGAATTTAGGGACAAACCATGAATAATCCTTACAGGCAGGAATCCAAGAAATGCAGGGATTGAACTCCATCCTGTTCTTTATTAATTCCTGCTATTATATTGAT